CCACAGCATGGGCTCATGGTCTTATGACATAGTAGTTTTGTACACTTCAGTTTCTGTTTCTTATCTTAGGGAAAATAAAATGTGCAGAGAACCCAGAGCCCTCAGCATGTGCAGTTGTGGGTTGTGCCCTGATGCCCTCTTCAGGGTCAATGCACTCACTCTCCCAGCTGCTGGGGCTGGGGCAGCTGCACGCCCCCTTGGGAACCACCCTCAGCTGCTGGGACCTGCCTGCCAGGCTATGTCCCCTCCCAGGGGACGGCTGAGGCCCGGACCCCTTCCCTCAGTGTGGGACAGCGCTGCAGGGCCAGCCCAGCTCCAAAGCTCCTCACGGGATCAGCTGAGGCCTCAGTTGGAACTCCCTTGCTGGGTCCCACCTCAGTTGGGTCCCTTCCAGGTTGTCTCCTGGGAGCCCTTTAGATCAACAAGACTTCTGCCTGCAACGCCCTCGCTGAGAGCCCTGCATTCCTGGGAGTGCCGTCTCAAATAGTCAAGTTCTTGGCTCCAATTTTCTCTCCCACCAATACTCAGTCACAGGCGCCAATGACTAATAAAATGTCTCCACCCTGCGTGACACCTCAGTTGGGTCCCTTCCAGGTTGTCTCCTGGGAGCCCTTTAGATCAACAAGACTTCTGCCTGCAACGCCCTCGCTGAGAGCCCTGCATTCCTGGGAGTGCCGTCTCAAATAGTCAAGTTCTTGGCTCCAATTTTCTCTCCCACCAATACTCAGTCACAGGCGCCAATGACTAATAAAATGTCTCCACCCTGCGTTGTGTTACTTTCACTTCCCTTGTCCCATCTCTGAGATACAAGTAAAGGGTCCAAAAAAAGAAGACATTGGGAGGAACAGGGAGGAGAAGAGGCCTATGCACTCCTCGCCTGGCTAACGCCCACTCGGGCTTTCAGCTTGGATGACAGCTACCCTGGGACGCCTCCCCTGGGCCCTCTGGGCTGGCTGCCCCATAGCTCCCATGTGATTCCCAGGCTATCACATGACTCCCTGGGTTATAATCAGTTATGTACCTGACCGTATCCCTCTAGATCAGTGATTCTCAACCTTCTGGTCCTTTAAATACAGTTCCCATGTTGTGACCCAACCATAAAATTATTTTCGTTGCTACTTTATAACTGTAATGTTGCTACTGTTATGAATCGTCATGTAAATATCTGATATGCAGGATGGTCTTAGGCGACCCCTGTGAAAGGGTCTTTCGACCACCAAAGGGGTCGAGACCCACAGGTTGAGAACCGCTGCTCTAGATGGTCATGTCAATGCCATGAGGGCAGGGAATGGGTCTACTTTGCTCATCATTTTCTCCCAGGGCCAAGCTCCTGGCTCTCGGGAGATGTGTCCCGCGATCTTGGTAGAAAACATGTGGCACACTCCAGTGGGGCAACTGAGGGGAGTCTGGTGAGAGGGCTCTTTACAAAGATTGAGACAGGGGATGGGGAACTCAGCACACAGTGCAGGGCTCAGTGCTGGTGAGAGTGGGCCGCCTTTCCCACCACAGGCCAAGAGGAGGGTGCTGTCTGGGAAGAGCTGCCCCACCAAGAGGGAGACTCGACCAGGAAAGAGCCTCCAATCTCCTACCTGAAACTCCCCATTGGCCAAACCCAGCGGAAAATCTTAGGCTAAGGGGGGTCTGCTATTACTAGTAATAAGATCAGTCTCTCTGGACATAAAGCAGGGTAGAGGAGAGTGGACAGAGAGGGAGAAAGGAAGGCTTACAGGACAGTTGGCACGGAATACCTGTGAAATGAATAGACGAATGACACTTTTCAACAAATGCTCATTGAAACACTACTCAATGGATATTTATCCTGTTGATCACCACTGGTGTAGACACATCAAAGGCCACGTGCATAAAAAGGCCACTCACTGTGACTCCAACATGGGGCAGACAGCAAAGCCTGGGGCTACGTGAGATGGGGAGCTGGAACCGAGATGTCCTGGCATAAAGCTAGGAAAAGGTGGACTAGAAGAAATGCACCCCCACAGGCAGAAGACAATGAGACGGGGGACCAGTCCTTGCCTAGTCTCTAAGCCAGTGATTCTCAACCTTCTGGCCCTTTAAATACAGTTCCTCATGTTGTGACCCAACCATAAAATTATTTTCGTTGCTGCTTCATAACTGTAATGTTGCTACTGTTATGAATCGTCATGTAAATATCGGATATGCAGGATGGTCTTAGGCGACCCCTGTGAAAGGGTCGTTTGACCGCCAAAGGGGTCGCGACCCACAGGTTGAGAACCGCTGCTCTAAGCAGTAGAGGGAAGAAACTCCTCTGGGAATCCGAAACCTGTGCGTCATGCAAATGTGAGGTTCCGTTCTACAACACCCTCAGCACAGGAGACCACAAAAGCAGACCAAGAAAACGCATCTCAGGCCATTGATGCCCCTAGTGCTTCCGGCTCAAACAAATGCAAAACTGCCCCCAGGAGGGAGTGCTCCCCCTTCAGGCCACACAAAGTTGATGCAGATAAAATAATCGCCAATAAATTTGAACTCACATGGAGACTGCAAATATCCAAGGAAGTGGATCACCAGGAGAGACAGTGGGTAGGCTTCACAAACCACAATTAAACCCTGACTGGTGTGAGTAAATCATGATTTGATTAAAAATTTTACAAGGAATCAAGATCCTTAAAAAGGGGAGCAAAATATTATTAGCAGAACCCACTCAGTGTAGACAAGGGTCTATTCCATTCTTGTGGGTTTGTCGTATTGCCCTAAGTCAGCACTTGGTCTTAGAATATGAACAGCCCTAGAAACCCTTCTGGATATGGGAGTTTTTACTCAGTGGGTATTTTTCCTTTTTTTTCCTAGGAAAGTCTCTGGAAGCTAGTTGAGACAGGAGATGGTAAGCTAGTGATGGATCTTGTCTACATGGCTAAATGGTGTTAACCAGCTGGTCTTAGAAACACATACTCAAAGAATGGAGGGGAGGAGTGGGTTGGTTTAACTGGGGCTTTCAGGGAGGTCAGGGAACGGACCAGTGGATAAGCAGAATGCTAGGAATCAAGCCAAAACAAAATAATACTGAAAGCGAAGGCCATGCTAATTCCAGGAAGTGAGGGTGATCCTGAATATACACAACAGTGGTTTTTCTTGGGAAACTCCCAATTTCACATAGTCCCGTGACACGTTCGAGGTGCCTGCCTGCAATTTCCCTCCACTTAACCACATCACGTGCAGGGCGTGTATTCACAGGGTTTTTCAAGTCTCAGCGTTGGACTTGACTCTCATCCCCGGGCCTGCGGTCGACCAGCGGGCATCCGGCAATAGAGTATCAAGAGCCGCCATCACCTACTCACTCCAGGTTTTGGGGAGGTTGGGGGCAGGTGGGGGGCTGGTGAGCCTCCAAATAGCCCGGCCACAGGAGGTGGAGCCCCTGGAGGAAGGGTGGCCTCTGCTGGTCCCAGGGCCGTAGCCACCACCACTGGACAGAGCTTCCCAGGGCACAGTGACCCTCACTCACAGGAACCCATGGTGGGGGGTGGGGGGGGCAGGGGGACTGGCTGGGAAACGGTCACAGCCCCGTTTCCCACCAGCACCAACCCTTGCTCAGGGAGGAGTGCCCTGCGTCGCCCTTTGAGTTAAATTTAATGCTGGATCACATGTTCGTCTGGGTCCTTCTTGTGTTTGTTTTTCCTTCCTTTAAATGCTTTCCTTATTTCTGTTTTAACAGGCCCACGTTCTGGATCGAATGCTACCCCGAACCCCTCTGTGGCGTTAGCAGGATGCCATCTGACCAGCAACATACATGCTAACCAATCCACAAGGAGGGTCCCCCCGGAGGCCGGTCACAGGTGCAAAGACTGGAGCTGGGAGTTCAGACAGACTGCTCAGTCCTGTCAAGTTCCTCTTCCCAGTTCAGTTCTCTTCCCAACCCTCCCCGTCCTCCCTCCGCCCCAACCACCCACCACCTCCGCCCACCGCTCCAAATTTGGGCTCTTGTCTCAGCTTCCTCTCTCTGGCCTCGAACCCTGCCTCATCCCTGCCTTGTCTGGGGTTGAACTTGTCACCCTCACATTCTCTGCCTCCGTGTCCTCACCGTGGAATGTTCCCGCGCTGGGTTCTCCCTCCAGGAGCAGGGTCAGCTCCTAGCAGCCCGCCTGACCCCTCGGTTCCCAGGGAGTGAGGCTGCCGGTGCTCACGGCAGCCCCACGCTCCCTGCACTGACACCGCACGTCTGCACCCCCTTCCCAAGGGACATCCCTGTGGCTGCCACTGCCGGGGAAATCCTCTCTTGAGACCCCATCCCTCAGCCAAAAGTGACAAGAAACACGGTCCCTGGGGTCCTCACTACAAGTTCTGGGAGTCCGGGGTGGATTCCAGGTGTGGGCTCTGCCGATGCTAAGGAGCCGCTGCAGGTGGCCATCGGGCCCCTGGGTCTGCAGGCGCCACCGTGACACTTGGCTGCAGCTGGTCCCTGCTCAGTGACACATGTCAGACGGGCCTTCCTAGCCCTCCCTCTGTATCGCCGACCAGCAGCCAAACCCAGTTCCCTTATCTGGGGCAGCCAGGAGGCCCGGGAAATCAGAGGCGGGTCCAGGGGGAGGTGGAGGACTCGACAACTTCCTGGTTTCCCTCAGAGGCTACAACACAGCCTGGGGGGCCGGGGGGAGCTTTCACGGGGCTTTATTTCAGTTAACCCCGGAGCCCCGGGACTGGGGGGCAGAGCTATCAGGGACACACGGTGGCTTCTCTCACCCCTAAAGGTCAGGACCGCCTACTGGGCTGGAAGGAAGCCGGTGTCTCCTGTCCCAGGCCCGTCCCAGCAGCTTGGCCGGCCGAGGGTAAGTCATCTGTGTATTTCACCAACGAGGCCATGTGGGGCGGAGGATGCTTTCGCTTTTGCAGACATTTGCTCCTGTCCTTCGAGAGCAGAACTCGGAGCTCCCAGCCTGTCACAGGAAGCTGCCCGGGGTGAGCCAGCTTCCCAGACAGGGAGGAACGAGGACCCACGCCGATCCCGCCACCCTGGCTCTGGGTTCTCTCCCGTGGGAGCTCCTCTCTCTTTCCTACATATTGCCTTCAGGCGGCTCCTGTTCTTACCCAGAGAATGAATGAAGTTCTTAGAAGCCGTGTCCCACTTACCTGAGTTCGCCCAGGGTGTCAGCGTCGGGTGTAGCAGCCCAGGCTGGAAGGAGGGACGGGGGTCAAGAAATGTCTGTTTTCACTCTCTGAGCCGCAAACGTCCTCTGGCCCCGGGAGTGCTGCCTGGGCCCTCACCTGTTTGCTGTTTCCCCCAGGGCCGTGCAGCTGGCTGCAATAACATCATCTCTCCTTTCTCTGTGCGGGCAGCCGGGCGATGGCTAATTACACCGACGAGGATTATGACGTCCTCATCGACCCTCTGTTTGACAACGAGACTCTCATAAAGGACGGCGCAGAGCCATGCCCCTCCTACGACCCCACCGTCCTCTCGGCCCAGCTGCTGCCTCAGCTCTACACCGCCGTGTCCCTGCTGGGCCTCCTGGACAACGTCTTGGTGGTGTTTATCCTGCTCAAATGCCAAAGACTCCGACACGTGGAACACATCTACCTCCTAAACTTGGCCGTGTCGAATCTGTGTTTCTCGCTCACCTTGCCGTTCTGGGCCCACGCTGCCTCCCACGGGGGGACCCTGGGCCATCCCACGTGTACTGTTCTGGTGGCACTGTCCTCCGTGGGCCTGCACAGCGAGGCGTTGTTCAACGCCCTCCTGACCCTGCAGAGCTCCCTGATGTGTTTCCACGCGAGAAGCCTGTCCCCCGCGGCCAGGAGGAGGAGGGCCTGTGGCTTCCTCGCCAGTGGCCTGGCCTGGCTGGTGGCCGCTCTGCTGGCGCTGCCCGAGGTCCTGCAGTGCATGGCTCAGGAGGACAGCCAGGGGGACAGGTGCCCCTGCAGCAGGCCTTACTTCCTGCCGGGCCAGGGGACAGCCTGGCAGCCCTTTCTGACCTTGAAGGTGAACGTGGCAGGCCTTCTGGTCCCACTGCTGGTTTTTATCATTTGCCTTGTGCGACTGGGGAAAACGCTCAGGAAGTCTGACCTTTCCCAGCTGGTTTTCGCCATCATGGTTGTTTTCCTTCTGATGTGGGGACCCTACAACGTGGCACTGTTCCTGTCTGCGTTCAAGGACTTCTTCTCGCTGCGGGACTGCGGGAGCCGCTACCACCTGGACAGGAGCGTCCAGGTGACGGCCATCATCGCCAGCACCCACTGCTGCGTGAACCCGCTCCTCTACGCGCTCCTCGACAAGGCGTGTCGGAGGTGCCTCTGCTCTCGCTGCTGTCCACTTCCGCCCACCGAGGACCCTGCACAAGATACGCCGTGGGAAGAGCATGACCACTCCACTCAACTGTAAGCCGGCTTCCATCAAGCTGGACAAATAAACATGGCTTTTGTTTCCTGGATGCCTGGTTTTGTATATGTTCTGGCTATGGATGAACTGTGTGCTCCCCCCCAACCCCAATTTATATATTGAAGCCCTAACCCTGTGTTATCTGGGAATGGGGGCGTTGGGAGGTCATTAGGGTTAGTTGAGGTTATGAGGGTGGGGCCCTCGAGATGGGATTAGTGCCCTCAGAGGAAGAGACACCAGAGAGCTTCCTCATTGTTTTACAGGTGTGTCTATGAAATCCATAGTTGAGAAAGGGAGGAAGTGAGCATTGGATTTGTCTCAGGTGCTGAGCTAGGCTCCTTATAACGTAAGCTCCTTCATACCTCACTTCCCAGCCATGGTGTGGGTGGAATTCGTCTCATTTCTCTGAGGAGGAAATGGAGGCTCAGAAATATCTCTAAGATCACACAGCTACAGAGTGGCCGGGCTGGGAAACAAACCTCGGTGTCACTTGCTCCAGAGCCCGCGCTGTGTCCAGCGTGCCAAACTTCCAAATACTGGGCAGGAAAACACAAAAGATGAACGTGTACTTTCAAAACCAATTGGACTGAATTTCAAATGCGAAGCAACCCGTTTATACAGAAGCCATTTTTTTAGACACATTTTCTTGCAAATCATTGAAAGAATGGCTAGCTGGAGGCGCTGGGTAGCGGTGAAGGGACATGTTCTGTGGGAATTCCCTAGGTTTTCTTGGCTGCTCCAGACATCGCCAACCTGTGAGCCTCCCATGTTTCTACTGCTTCTTTCTACTTTCACAGTAGTGCTCTACGATGAGGTTTAGAAATGTTTAGTGTATGTTTTGTCCTTTTCAGTGAAACAAATACCTCAGGCCTCCCCAGCCTGTGACTAACACATCAGAAGTGTTTGCCTGGGGAAACCCAGTGCCTGTGTTTGTTACATGGCCCAAGTAGAGATGACAGAGGAAATGCAGATGCCCATGGACCACAACCTTTCACCTCCACCACTGAGGAGGGAGGAAGAGCAGGTGACACTTGGGGAGACCCCATAGGAACACAGTTTATAGCAAGCACTGGCTCTTCCACATCGTAGTGGGGGGCTATGGATGAACTTTGCCCCCCCATTTATATGTTAAAGCCCTAACCCCCAATGTGATGTTATTTGGACGTAGGGACTTTAAGAGGTCATTAGGGTTAGATGAGTTAATGTGGGTGGGGCCCTTGAGATGGGATTAGTGCCCTCATAGGAAGAGATACCAAAAAGCTGCCTAATTCTCTCTCCCCACCATGTGAGGACACAGTGAGAAGGTGGATATCTGCAAGCCAGGAAGAATACTCTCACCAGAACCTGCCCATCCTGACACCCTGACCTTGGACTTCCCAGACTCCAGGCCTGTGAGAAATCAATTTCTATTGTTTAAGCCCACTCAGTCCATGGTATTCTGCATGGCAGCCCAAGCAGACTAGGACAAGGTTCCTCCAGAATGAAATTAAATCACAAATAAAAACACCGTGAGATGTCAAAAGGGAGACCTTGTAAGAAAGTGTCCCAGCAGATTAAAAGAGGGTTATGATGCTGAAGAAGAGGAGAAGGGACAGAGACAGTTCCACTAATTTAGACAAGTGGGTCTGGACTCTCCACCCACTTCTACCACATGCAGGAGAGAATTCAGAGAAAATGACATCATTTGCAGATGTTTGCAGGTGCAGCGATGAACTCAGAGAGTAAATCCTGTCAGAATTTTCAGAATGAAAACATAGAGTGTGCAGAGAATAAGGATCTACACTCTTACAGTGACTGAGGGTGAAATGGTTACTAAAAATCAATGCAACAACCCCCACACATAAGTAGTGAGAATGTTAATAATTCAGTGAGGTCTTCCTCCCATGTCAGACAGTTACCCTAAAGGTTAAAAGAACACATGGCTCTAGCCGGTTTGGCTCAGTGGATAGAGCGTTGGACTGCAGACCAAAGGGTCCCTGGTTCGATGCTGGTCAAGGGCATGTACCTTGGTTGCAGGCTCCTCCCTGGGCCGGGGCCAGGACAGGGCAGGTGCAGGAGGCAACCAACTGATGTGTTTCTTTCACATTGATGTTTCTCTCTCTCTCCCACTCTCTCTAAAAATCAGTGGAAAAATATCCTCGGGTAAGGATTAACCCAAACAAAAATAAAACAATAACACATGCTTCTCTACAAGCTATCGCGTTAGAAAGCTAGCAACCAGTGAAAAGAGAAGGTGGCTAATGTATTCAGGATAAGCTGGCAGTGTTTCTGTTCTGACTATAAATTATTTCCTAATGCAAAAAAGTTCCTACCAGCTCCAGGTCATTCTGACTTGGGAGAATAATTGAAATCTCATGAACAACCCTCTATTCAAGTCAATTCGATTTATTTGTGGGCACAAATGGAACACATTTGAAAACAGGCAACAGGATTACTATTGTGAACGAAAAAGCAGTAACATTTGAAGTTGAAAAAAAAAAAACACAGGATGCCCAGTTTAATTTTAATTTCCACTACACAACAAATAATCTTGTCTTTTCCTTTTTTTTTCAAATGTGACACAGGGACTGCTCACCCTTCCCTGGCCAGAGTTTCCCACCCCCAGCCTGAATTTCAGTAGAGCTTTCGCCTCTACAAAGTGCCTCCTCAGACATCTCATCGGCACCACAGATCAGACTTTCAGAGAAAACCGAGGGTCATTGGCTTCATTTTAGAAAAGTGGAAACTGAGGCTTCAATGGCACAGCTACCACGTCACAGTCTGGGCTTTTCACTCTCTGACATCAGTGCTCTTTCCTCTACTGCCCACTGCCCCGCCCAGTACTTCCTCACGTGTCTGCAGGGCCCTGTGAGTTCCTGAATGTCACCACACTGGGTTTTTTACAATAAGTTACAAATCCAGAGGATTCGGGGAAGGCGGGTCCTCAGCTGCCCATTTATAGACACTGAGAAAAACAAACTTCTCCAAAGCACTGTCTCTGGCACATCTAACAGAAGAACATCTTTGATCCAAATGTTAGGCTCTGAGCCCCTTGATGTTGCCCTGGGATTGGCCTTTAGCTACTTCCCGGGAGGCCATGCTCAGGAGGGGCTGGGAAAGGGCGTGTGTGTCTTCCTGTGGGACTTAACAGAAGCCATCTGGCCTCCCCAGCCTCCGACAACTGGGGTTAGGCCGGGCCCTCTCAAGGCTGCTGGCAATTGGATGGTCATTGGAGATTTACCTCAGGTCTGTCTCACGGTGGGTCCAGAGGTTCCCTGAAGCCATCCAATAGCTGTGTCCCCAGTTGCAGGACAAACACACTCAGCAACGGACAGAATCCCTGCATTGATTCTCTGTGGAGTGAGGGCAGCCATGGGGGGAAAGACCAACCGGAAGCCATTGGAACTGCTCTTCCTGATAAAATGCTAAACAGACAAGACCGCATGTGCAGAGGAATTCCCGCAAGGACTGGGAAGATGCAGGAGGGCACCCCATCCAAAAGGCGGAGTTGGTTTGTGCAGGGCCAGATGGGCCTCGGAGAATGCCCAGGGACCACTGGGAACTTAACCAGGCGGGGACTGAGTTGCAGGGCCATTTCAGCTGTGGTTTCATTGCTAGGCCAAATCAGCATTTTGCCCCTGGACCGGGTGTGCAGTCAACGTTTTTTCTTCTTCTCCTCCACGCCCCCTCCCCCCCGCCCTCAATCCTGTCAGTAAAGACCATCAGAAGCTGTTTGTTTCCAGCTGGCCAGGCCAGTAACACACCCGCAAGGGAGAGCACTCTTCGCCTCAGACCCCACCAAATGCCTGCACATGGGAGGGCTGGGCCCTCCCGGACCAGGGCAAGGCCCAGCCTAGCAGTTGCTGTAGGAGCTGCCCACATGCTGTGTCTCTGGGTTGGAGAACCAACTAGCCAGCACCTCTCAGACCTGCTCGCGCCCTCTCCTCACATTTTTTTTGTTTGTTTGTTTTTACCACAGGTACTCATAAGTCAAACATGGTGTTGTTTTCGATGGTTTTAGAGGTTATATAAATAGTCTCATTCTCATACTGCAGTACTTCTGTTACCAGCTCCTTTTGCATGGCACCAGTCTGTAAGCAAAGTAAGTTTCTGAATGGCCAAGCAAGGAAAGCCATGTAACTAGGCTGAATTAATGGAATTATGTTTGACTGAAGCAATTTTTAAAAATGTGTCCAGAGAAGAAAAACTCATTTAAGTCTGGTAAGCTTTCCACTGATGACAGTTGCTTGAAGAGCTGAGGACATTGGGAACAATACCAATAGTCAATTTTTAAAAATGATGCAAATGATTTTGAGGGGTTTTCCGTTGGCTTTTGATGGGTCGACAGATGTTACAGCTGCTGTCAACTGAGTCAATGGTGAGTTTGAAGTGAGTGAAGAATTAGCCTCCATAAACAGTCTGCAGGCAGTAACTACAGGCAAAAATATTTTCTGAGAAATTGAGAAAATACTAATTCAGAACAATCCAAAGTGAAGTCTGCAAAGATGTTGTTACAACTGATCGTGGTTAAAATATGTGTTAAGCAGAACAGGGCTTAGGTGGACACATTTACAAAGCTTTTGAGAATGGAAGGTGTTTATTTAAAGTCTGTGATTTTTCATTTGTGGTACTTTGTGGAAAGTATGTTAATTCATTGTGTGCATTAAACCACTAGTATCAACATGAACTTCTTTGGCTCTCATGGACTTAACCACCATCAGTTCTGTGGATTTCTTTTTCCAGAAATAAAAATTTAATATCCTGCCCTGACTGGTTTGGCTCAGTGGATAGAGCGTCCGCCTGTGGACTGAAGGGTCCTAGGTTCGATTCCAGTCAAGGGCATGTACGTTGGTTGCAGGCACATCCCCAGTGGGAGATGTGCAGGAGGCAGCTGGTCGATGTTTCTCCCTCATCAGTGTTTCTAACTCTCCATCCCTCTCCCTTCTTCTCTGTAAAAAAATCAATAAAATATATATATTTTTAAATTTATATCCTGACTCACCCCACCATACAGCAGTCTGGTGGCTTAGCACTGGGAAGCCATTTTATGATGATATTTAGAGGTCAAGGCCA